CCTACTGATGTGAGTGGTGAGAAGAGAACAGAGAGCAGGATGATGGGAAACAAGGTTACATGGATGCAAATTAGTACTACAGTGAAGGTGAGGAGAACATGCTGGATTATAACGACTTGCTGCCTGTGTGCCAGTCCCCAGGGATCATTTCTATTTCTAGAATGTGTTCCTGTCTGCCTTCCTCCACCAACTTAGAACACCAACTTAGAATTGCTCCTAGTGGTTGGACTTCCTCAGTTTCCATGTACCAGCTCCTGGCTCCTTTTTTTTATTTCTGAATACTAACTGCATCAAGTGGAAATCTCCCTCTTTTTCAAATCTTATAATTCATGATAAGACCTCTTCCCTGGTAACATGTTCGTTCTTCAATTCTCTGCCCTTTCATTTCAACTAAACTGAATGTTTGTTGTTAACAATAAACCTTTATAAAGGCCTTCATCATGTGACATGGAGATGTAGATGGTGTCTGCTTTCTGTAGCTTGGTGCTCATCTTGCTGATTCTTTTGCTGTCATAAATTTTACCAAGCAGAAGAGTTGAGATGATGTCTGGATATAACTAAAGCACAAAAACCTTCCTTGGTGCTGTAAGCAACACAAGCCTGAGAAATTTTTCTTCCAATGAGTGAGAATATGGAATGAAACAGAAAACAGCAAACTGTATAAAATATTTGAAAAGAATCTTCAGAGCATATCCTGCAACATCTCCACTACAAATACTATATTGTGGTACAGAATTTATATCCAAGGGATGTGCTCTGTATAAACCAGAACACAATCAGATGATCCTGCTACTCTGACTAGGTAGCCACAGTTGAAAGAAAGTTAAGAGGGAAATTATTTGAATCACCCCAAGGACAGGCAATTGCTATCCAAGTTGCGGCTTTATTGGCTCCCAGGAAACAGGAAAAACAAAATATGGAATGATTGAGGATGACATCACTAAAATAGGACACAGGCAATTCCTTGTCAAAGTCATCACTCTTGAGGAAAGATATTTGGTATACAGAGCCATGCTAATTTCTGATAAGCAGGTTTTAGGGGGACTAGAATTTCTCTAACCAGCTTGCAAGGGCACCCTATGGTGGCTGGCTCTGTGAAAAGTAGTTCCAATCTGGGAGCACTGGGCTGTCTCTGAGGAACAGTAGAAACCCAGGATGTGTTAACAACTCTCATTACTCATTTAGGTCTCACAGATACAAACTGGTTTCACTTACAGATGGGCAGACAATTGTGCTACAATATAACTATATTTTTAACAAATAATATTTAGTAGTATAGCCAGGTGGTAGTGGCATACAACTTTGATCCCAGAACTCAGGAGGCAGGCGGATCTCTGTGAGTTCAAGGCCAGCCTGGTCTACAGAGTAAGATCCAGGACAAGCACCAAAACTACACAGAGAAAACCTGTCTCGGAAAAAAAAAGAGAGAGAGAGAGAGCAGTATATACTAACTAAACAAAAAGAAATAAGGATATTAATTTTTAATTCCATTTTCTTGAGTTAGAGACCTCAAGGAAATTATTTCAAAATGAAAGTCAGGCAGGAACTGAAAAATTCAATTTCTAGCTATTGCTTTAGGGTATTAAGACTGCACTGACATGTGAGAGAAAATGTATGGTAGTGTAACTGTCACAGCAAGAATAGTGGGAAGTAGAAAATAAGTGGGGAAAAAACCCAATTGCTTAATACATGCTGTAGTCAGACTTTCTTTGGACTGACAGCTCCCAAATAATGACACTGAGACTTTTTATTAAACATAAAAGCTTGGCCCTAGTTTAGGCTTGTTCCCAACTAGCTCTTAAAACTTAAATTAACCCATTTATATTAATTTACTTTCTGCCACATGGCTTGTTACCTCCTCCATACAATACATCCAACTTCCTCCACATCTTCCACACCTCAGATTCTTCCCGGAATTCCTCTCTCTGACCAAAAGTCCCGCCTGTCCTCTCCTGCCTAGCTATTGGCCATTCAGCTCTTTATTAAACCAATCAGGAGATGCCTTGGCAGGCAAGGAAAGAGAAAGATACATCTTCACACAGTGTGATCTAATATTCTGCAACAGTATTCAGATAATTTTGTGTTTATCAAGTAAATGCCATTAAATGTAGCAAAGACTTTTTAATTAAAAAAATAAGACAAATTTCATACTATATAGCCTAAGGTGTCTAATGTGGCTAAAGTAGAAAATGCAACTGGAGAAAGAACGTAGCTAAGGACATGGCTGTAGGAATTTCAGATACCACAGTAATCAAACAACTGCAGGAGAGGAGTCATGGACACTGCATGTGGCACAAGCCACATGCGTATGAGTAGCAACCTCAGGATTCTGTACATGGCTGGCTACTGTGGTCTGAAAGCCAGTGCTAAGACGTCCAGTCATTGCTCTGTAGCACCCAATTGCCTCTGGAGACTTCTAGAATGGAACAGGTCTCAATTATTTCTCTCACTCATATTTACAGCCAGGCTTTTGTGAATGTTCCAGTGATGGCTTTGTATAAAGGATAAGTAATGTTTGATTCTGCATAGGGGCTCTACACACTGTGAGGAGAATGAAGTGAGAGGTTTGTGAGGAGGAAGGAAGCACCTGTACCATGCTGTGACTAAGCTGCTGGCACAGAGGTAGATGCCTGAGTCCTCTTGATCTGTAGACTGGATATTCAGAATGGAGAAGGAGCCTTTAGGCCTCACTGCAGAGAATCGATCACTAGGCATCCCAGATTTGTCAAATAAAAACGTATTCTGGAAATACACCATAAACACTGGACCTTGTCCTGGGTTCTGTCGGTACCAATAAAGACCACTGTGGCCAGAAACTGGATCACACACAAGGTCTACATCCTGTCCCCTCTTTATAACTCTGTACATGGGAGATTGCGAGACTCCAGCACTAGTGAGGTCTGTGAAAACATAAGTTGTGAACAGAGTAAAGAAAATGATTGTAATAAAAGTTCATCAAACACACACACACACACACACACACACACACACACACACACACACACAGTGAAAATGGTTGATATTTTAATGACTCACCTGTTCCCAGGAGATAGAACATCACCCAACAGAAGAGCCTAACACCCATGGTAGAGTCCACACAGGATGAAAGCCCAGCGAATCTGAGTAGTAGTGAATAGGATCAGAGGAAGACTGAGGTGACCCTTCTCCCCACAGGGCAGTTCCCATGGTGACATCACTTCTGATATCAGGAACACACTATTTGCATTGTCAGTACATGGATGACTGACCTAAACATTTATACATTTCTTCTTTAAAAAAAAAAATCAATGAATAGATTCTCATTTTCATTCTCAGTGCTGCCTGAACTCTCATATCCTTTTAAAACTAGAGAAGACAGGTGTCTATAGGTTTGGATTTTATTTTGTATTTAAAGTAAATATATATGTATATATAGCTGTGGTGGTTTAAAAGAAAGTGACCCCCAAATGGAGTGGCACTATTTGGAGGGTGACCTTGTATGAGTAGGTGTGACTTTGTTAGAGGAAGTGTGTCACTGTGGGGTGAACTTTGTATCTCCTATGCTCAAGCTATGCCCAGTGTCACAGTTCACTTCCTGCTACCTGGGGGTCAAGATGTAGAACTCTCACCTCCTTCTCTAGAACCAGCACCATGTCTGCCTGCATGCAGCCATGTCCCACCATGATGATAATGGACTAAACTTGTGAAACTGTAAGCCACCCCAACTAAATGTTCTCCTTTATAAGAGTTGCCATGGTCATGGTGTCTATATGTCTTTAAATAACTGCTATCTTCATTCCTCTATTGAAAAGTTTCAGAAATAGCCCGGAAGCTTGACCTGTACTTCTAGGTTTAACACACATTTATATTAAAGAACAGGCCATATATTAATAAGAAATTCCCATGCCAAATGATAAACTGGGTTGCACACACAAATGCAGGCTTGTTTAGTAAGTAAATGTTCCTCTACAAATTCATTAATTCTTATGTATTCTGAACTCCTGGGTAACTGGGGAGAATATAAAACATTCAGATACTGAGGTATAACATCAAAGACATGTACTACATTGGGAAGGCTAAAGCAACAGAACAAAAATACTCTATTTACTACTTAATCCCAACTTCATTGGTGTAGAGTGAGTATTCCTACATTGAATTCATCTGCTCTTCTTTGAATAGATTAATCAGTCACATTAATCATGAGTTAACCCTGCCTGGTGAGATTCCAGCATTATGGGAGCTGAGTAGAAGGAGGACTTCTGCCACAGTCATGAAAGCAACACCTAGAACAGAAACATCCTAGTCATAGTCACATTTCACTTGGAAAGAGGTTCATTCAGAAGAGGAGCCTAGAGATCAAAGCAGGGTTGAGACAAATGTGATGTCTTAGTCCAGGAGAAGAGATCTTGTGCTGGGTGGTGTTAAATCAACTTATGTCAGCATCAGTCATTTTCAGATTATACTTGGTAATGAAACATTTGTGTACAATTTAGAAAAAAAAATAGCTACCATTGTACCGTGTTACTTGGAAGGTGGCTGTAATCAAGCAGAGAGGTGGTGACATGAATACTACAGACCGAAAGGATGCTTTGTAGCTATATTCTGTTTCTAGCTACCTTCCAAAATGTTGAGCACCAGAGTTCAGTTGAATATAGAAGGTTGCAACAGATACACAGGAGTGAGTGTCCATTGGTTTCTTCCATTCTTGTTCAAGATACTATCAGTTTTAGTTCAGAATTCCTACCCATAATGTCTGGCAGACTCTAAACCTTCCTCCTTGGAATTCCATCCTGTGCCCTACATTAGAAAGCCAACAGCTCTGGCTGCTGGCTGCCAGCTGCCTCACTAACCTTCAACTTCTATTTTTCAATCTAGCTCTTTCTCAGCTCTTTCACATCTAGAAGATCTATGATAAACTCCATCTTCCTATGATACCTAACTGGTTCTATATCATCACTGTGGTGGAAATTCAATAGATGTCTTGGTATCATAAGTGGTTTCAATGAAAGAAGACTCTAGGGATGGCATTCTGAGAAAGGGTCTCTGATCTATCTAAATTCCTTGTGGGAAAATCACCTATAAGAAATCTCGGGATGCAGCCACTGAAGGAAGCCTTTATCCTGTTATAGCCAATGGTGCTAGAGAATATGGCACCACATTCCAGCACTCACCTTAGCCCAGTAATGAAAGAGATATGCTTTCTCAGAGTTAGGCTTCATCTCTGGCAGGGCAAAGTACAATCTGAGGTGCTTCCATTGATAGTTTCTCAATCTACTGAGAAACTGTTCAATCATCCCTTTCCTATGACATGACCTGAATCCCAGAGGGAGAATGCATTATGCTTTGTCAAGGAAAACAGGGAGTTAGTGCATATCCAAATTACAAGCTGCCTTCCATCCAGCAATACTTAAACTCAAGACAAAGACCAGAAAGTCAGAATTAAAGAAGCATCAGAGGAAAGACAGCAACAGTGGAGACCTCTGAGTCCAAGGTCTGGTCCAAACCTGCCTGAGCTTGCCAGGAGATGCCCCTCAGCACAGATTGAGGTTTGCACTGCCCAGACCACTCAGAGCTCCAAGATTCCAGTGTTGAGAACTCTAGTATGTCACTGAGTTCCAGGGGTGGGTGTCTCTTTTCAGCATGTATCTTTATGTGCAGAGAGGAGGCAGGCCCACAGCTCTGTGGTATAACTGCTGGCACAGAAGTACACAGATGTCTGGGAGGGAGAGGCCGACTCCAGAGTGAGGGGAAAGAACTCTGTGTTTGTTCTGGAAACGCTGTACCCCTCAGGGACATCTCCTTTGTCAGTGATGCCAACATCATATGAGTAGTAGATTAGCCTCAGCCCCAGCCCTGGATCCTGTCGGTACCAGAACATGGCGTCATGTTTCATATTCTGAGTACAGTTCATTGTCACATGTTGCCCTGTCCTCAGGAGCATCGATTTGGGAGTCTGATTGATGGCAGCACTCATTGGACCTGTGGAAAAGGAGAAGTGAATGCTCTCACAGTGATGGAAAGGTTTTGTTTCAGCACCTTAAAATACGCACTGATGCCGGGCGGCGGTGGCACACACCTTTAATCACAGCACTCAGGAGGCAGAGCCAGGCAGATCTCTTTGAATTTGAGGCCCACCTAGTCTACAGATTAAGATCCAGGACAGGCTCCAAAACTATACAGAGAAACCCTAATCTTGAAAAACAAACAAACAAACAAATACACACTGAGACATGTGCAAAACTCACCTGCCTGCAGAAAACAAAATGCCGCACTGCATACTAAACTGAGGTTCATGACCGAGATTCAGCAAAGCAGAGGGACCACTGAACATCTGTGTTGTAGAAAGGAAACGGTCTCTGAAGCAAATGACTTTGAGTTCTCAGTTTCCATGCCTGGGAATCAGAAGCCTCTAGTCACCAAGCCACACCCCTTCCTCAGAGAATCATCTCCAGAATAAAAGCCCATGCAGGCTAAATAGAAGTCAGTTGTCCAAAATGACTCAAATACCTCTTGACAATTTTTTTTGTAATGTAGCCTGTAAGTCCATGAACATTATATTCCCATTGAGATATAATTCCTCACTAACACACTGGTCTAGGATTATAGGGAACAAACAAACAAGAAAGAATTATAGGGAACACTCTTGTGGTTTCCTTGTGGCTTTTAACTCATGTGTCTCACATTATCCTTTTCTGTTTACTTAATTAACCACAATTCTATTGACATTATCTACCTGCAGTAAATCACTCTCATGTCCAGTTTTTAAACCTGGGAGGGCAACCCATTAGCCTTTAAGGAATTATTTGCTGTTTCTTGTCAATTTATCACAGACAGAACACCTGCCCACTGTATCCAGGCTGTCCTTATATATACATAAAACCAATGAATCTGCTTCTCATGGTCCAGGTGATACCACATCAGGGAATCATACCATGCTAGTAACTGGCCTCTCTTCATGGACTGTGATGGATACCTAGTATAACAGAACACCTCTTGGCAAACACCTGTTGACCTACCACATGCTGTCTCAAAATAACTTTTTTGGAAATGACTATCAGAGCATTATTTTAAATGATATGAGTGAAAAACATGAATGAAAATAGTAAGAAAAATGTATTGTCAGTAACAAAGACAGAGGTGAGGATGTGAGAAGGACCTGGGAGAGAGGACAGATTCCAGGGTCAGGACCGCCCCGCCTGCAGGGCTTCAACGGGTTCTCGACCACCCTAAGGAGGGAATATAGGGACAGGAGATACAAAGAAAAAGACACCAAGTCTAGATTCTGATCAAGGTGCCACTTTATTTCCTTCCAGAAAGGTTTATATAGTTGCGCAGGGTGGTGGGAGCAAGAAGCTGTCATCTCCATAAGGTGGGGCAAGCTAACATGTATAGGATGTTTACAGGGTGAGAGGGTCAAGGGCTCTGACTCAATGTTCTGTTGCTAGGCAACCTGACTGTAAGATGATCTAGTTCCCTGTCTTATTGGGGGTCTGTATTTTTCCACTAACTAGAGATTCTGTCCTTGTCACTGACAAGGACAAGTGCTATGATCTTAATAGAGGCACATTCCATAGGCGATGTTCCCTTGTTTAGAATGCTGTCATGAATTACTTAATAGAGGACTTCAAAAACCTATATTTTTGGCTAAGAGCTCATAATTCAGAAAGACTTTACAGGTTGTTTAATAGACATTAAGTTCTTGGTGATTTGGAAAGTAAGTTCTGTGGCTGGTCCAGAGTCTGTTCACTTTCTTTGAGATGGGCTCTTTGTGCAAGAGCACATATCTGGTATCACTCAGCATCTATGGGGCTGAAGACAGAGGCTATAGACACTGAAGGAGGAAATGTCATCAGTGTCTGATGCCATAATCATAATCAAGCTGTGAATCTGAGATCCAACAAGTCCAAGAGTGGTCCCACATCTGTGCTCAGGAATCCTCTGGTCCAGAAAACAGCACCTGAGCCTGAAGCCCAGATCAAATTCAGATGATAAAGAAGAGTTTTCTAGGTCACAATTTTTCAGTCACAGTCAAGGCAAAGCCATCCCTTCCCAATATAATCTCACCTACAAATGGCATCATGTGGTTTGCTTGGCTCTAGTACAGACACATGTCAACATGAGGCCTAGCCACATGTCTCAAAGCAACTCCATTGGAAATGACTAAGGTTGATCAGAGTATCATTAAAAAACAATTTGAGTGCAATTGTGACGGAGAAAATGAATGAATGAAAAAGAATGAGTGAATGTGGTAAAGCTAGCCTCTATCAGCAGGAGTGAACTTTTTGACAATCACCTTACCTCATTGTCTTTTTTCAGGGAGGAGTGTTCAGTACAGATCAGCTATGTAACATGATTTCAAATACCCCTTAAACCACCAGAAATATTTGCTCAAAACAGAAAAGGTTTTTTTTTTGTTTGTTTGTTGTCTTGCTTTATTTTGTTGTTTGTTTGTTTGTTTGTTTTGGTTTTTTGAGACAGGGTTTCTCTGTGTAGTTTTGGTGCCTGTCCTGGATCTCACTCTGTAGACCAGGCTAGCCTCGAACTCAGAGATCTGCCTGGCTATGCCTCCCGAGTGCTGGGGTTAAAGGTGTGCACCACCACTGCCCGGCCAGGTAAGTATTTTAATGAGTATAGATGTTAATTTTGTGCTTAAAAGAATTTTAAGACAAATTACTTCATAAAAATAAAAGTTATTTTATAAATTATCAGAAATAGAGAAAGGTATTACAAAGAGTGAAACTTTGAAATTATATAAAAGTCCTATATCTTAGTAGGGTTTATGTTAGATGACTATATACATTTATACATTGCTCAAAAATCACTGACCTGTTCATCAATAGGTAATATTTATCATGTGTGATTTATTTGTCAATGAAGTTTTTAAATGTCTGACTAAGGGTATATGCTAAATTCTCTAGTTAGTTCATGTAATGAGTCACCAGGCATATGTATTTCCATTTCAACTATAAAATGACAAGACGAGAGTCCTCATCTGCTTTTGCACATAGATAGTGATAACGACTGTCTTTGATTAGCAAATGCAATCAAACATCTGGGTTCATATCATACACTATGTATTTTATGCTTATTGAAGTGTTATACATTTGTGAAGATGGTGTGATGGCTAATTTTATTCGTCAACCTGGCCAAGCCATGACTACTCAAAAGATTTTATCAGACACTCTAGATGAGTCCATGTGGATGTTTTTGAATACTAACATTTAAAGAAGTAGATTTTCACATTAAATTGAACTAATAATCCAGTCAGTATAGCAAACCAAATAGCCTTTCAGAATATGACTCCATCTGATCACTTTCTGCTGTGTGTGTGTTTTAGTGTGTGGCTAAAACAGAGTCTTTCTCTCAGGTGAAGTAGAATGTGCACATCAGACAGCTGCCAGCCTTGAGACTGGAACAACAGCTCCCCCTTGCTCTCCAGCAGCACCACTTCACCTGGATTTAGACATGTCCATAATTGCATTAGCCTATTCCTTAAAATTCCATTGATAGGATAGAAATATGGTTGATAATAGATAGACAGACAGACAGACAGACAGATGATAGATAGATAGATAGATAGATAGATAGATAGATAGATAGATAGATAGATAGATAGATAGATAGACTGACAGACAGATCCTAATGGTTCTGTTTCACTGGATACTTCTGGCCAATATCAGTTGAACAAGTTAAGAACTGTAGCCTGCCTTGGTGAGTTCATGTTCGGATGGGAGGAAGAATGAGATGTAGTGGCAGTGAGCAGGTATTTTTCCCTCCATAGCTATATCCCAGGCAAGCCAACTTTTGCTAATGATTTTATTAGAACAGCAAATATGAGACAGTTGGAAAGGGTAGCATTCTGATTTTAAAGACAGGTTTTTTTTTTTTTCATGAAATAGGCATTGTTACATATATATATATATATATATATTCTATTTGATGTCCTGTGGGGAAATGTCTTAGGCAAAGTAGATGTCCCAAAATGTGAAATGAAGGAGTAAAACTAGTGAGTAAGGAGAGCTGCTCCTTCCATCACGGTTGGCTATGTGTTGCTCTTAAAGGTTGCGAGTTCTCTAACCAATGAGCCCTTCCCTTTGCACTGAAGGCAGGAAACCAAACATTCTCATGTCCTCATGAAGATCACAGAGGTCTTAAAGCATCTCTCTTACCATGGCAACACAACCATATTGAGGAAGAGAGTGCCTTCATTCTTGTCAGTGCATAGGCTTGTTTCAAAACTGTGGATTGCTTAGGCTCAGTTGGGAAGAGGTTAAAATAATCAGCTGATGCCACACCACCTTGCTAAAGGAGGCCTAATATGGAGAAGACAGGTGAAGGGGTAGATCTAGAGCAAAGGATAAGGAAACAGGAAACAATAAATATGGGGGAAAGGAATATCAGGTAGTTAGCTATCCAATGTGAACCCAAGAAAGCTGCTTTGATACATGTATAGGTCAAGTAATGTTCACCTTGCACAAATTCTGTAAACACTAAACAGACCATAGATTTATGCAGCCATGAGTGTCTGAGAAAGGTCTGTCACTTCTCAGAGCCTCAGGACATTCACTGGCAGCATCCTGACCCATCCTGACTCCTTCCTGAGTAGGGACAGGAATGTTTTTGTACATAATGCTGATGATCAGGCAGGGCTGTGCTCTGCTGATGGCCCAGAGGAACAGTGCAGAGTCCTTCGACTCCAAGGAGCTCAGATTTCTTTCGAACAATAGTCACCAAAGTGCTGTGCTGCACATCCAGTAAGAACATTTCCCTCTCTCTCTCTCTCTTCTCTATTGTAATACTGAACTGGGGTTCCTGGCCCAGGGTCTTCTGGTAGCAGAACACAAAGAGGAGTCCAGAGAGAGGGGAGCACTTCATTGTTGCTAGCTGCCCTTTGTCTTTGATAAGATGTTTTAGGGTTTGCATGATTCTAGAATCCACTGGGTCTAAGAGTCAGGAGACAGAGTTTGCTGGGGCCCTCATTATCTGTCTTGTGTTTAAGGCAGGAACAACACAGGGCAAAACCTTCCAGGTTGTTCCCATGACTCACCTGCTCCCAGGAGACAAAGGCCACACTGCAGAGCAGCTTTTGACCATGTAGGATGAAAAGCCTTGAGTATCACCTTGTTCAGGGTTGGGGCCTCCTGGGGAAGTATTTGGAGGTTTGAAGGTATCGTCTCCTGATAGGCACAAATGCCACGCTCTGACATTCCTCTCCCTGCAAGACACCCTGGTGCAGTGCAGCCTATGGTAAGACAGATTCAACTCGGAGAGGTAGGACTCCCAAACAGAGGTCAGGTTCAGCTACATGTCCCCATATCCATACCATACCATATATCCTTCCATATTAA